TCAGTGAAACTTGACACCTCAAAGTTTTAGAACAAGTTTACACAAATAAATCCCTTTGCAGTACATCTGGCTGTTCTCTGCTTCTTAGTTACCACCAACCACTGAAGTAACAAACTGTTAGATCGAACAAGGAAGCATTCATTTAGCATTATGTTTTATTTTGAAGTCAAATTTGTAACAGAAAACTTATAAAGATTCATGGTGGCTCAATGGTTAGGGTAGTTGTTCCGCTAACGTGACAGTTGGTGGTTCAGTTCCCCTCTATGCTGACACAAGTCAGAGATAGTGAAGACCCTGAACCCCCACTGCCCCTGATGTGTGTCCCATCAGTGATTCTCTATAGATTTCTCTGTTAGCTTGTAGATTGTTGTGTTAATGAGTAAATGAGGACACAGACTGTGTGCTGGTTGGATAGAAAGGTGCCATATATGTACAGTCCATTTATGATTTATTAAGAGGACAACATAACGTCATGGTCTCCTGCAGAGACTGTCTTAGGATTGTCACCCAGTCTGGGGTCTTTACGTGTGGAGTTTACAGATTCTCTCTGTGCACCTGTGGGTTTATCCTGAGTTCTCCTGTTTCAATCCCCAGACTAAAAACATTCATGTTAGACTAGTTAGTATCTTTAAATTGTTCCTAGACGTGAATGTTTGTCTATATGTGACCCTGTGATGGGCTTGTGACCTCAAGTTGTCCACCACCCCTATAGGGACTGATGGAGATGGACACAAGCTTCCTGAGACCAGGAAAGGAGAAGCAGGTAAAAAAAAATGGATGGCTGGATCTTTTATTAGCATAATGTTCAGTGGAGTCATTGCATACTGTTCAGGAAGTGAATTAGTCAAATAAGCAACATGCACAACACTGATTGTTGTCTCTACACTTTTATCACCTGCTGAGGCAATCAGATTTGTTTTTAAAGAAACTATGATCTATGGGTAGTGTATAATATGCACACAACTCAGCACTTGTTAACATCCACCGGAACGCCCACGTTCCGTTTGACACATTTGTTCTTTTTATGGTCTTTTTGGCCTGGCTCCAGTAAAATAGATCTTTCATCAAAAAAATAAAACTTTAACATACATATGCCCTCCAAATCTATGTCTGCCTATTCAGCTACTTAAGCACATACACTCAAAAACAACAACAGATTGTTGGATTTATTTAAAGTTATGTCAACAATTTCCACTTAACTGAGTTGAAGAAGTTTAAAGCAACGCTTACAGATTTTTTTCAATGTAAATGTGCAAGTGGCTTTACACAGTGGAATTTGTTGACATTACTTAAGTTAAATAAATAAACTTGTGGGAAAAAACAGGGAGCAGGCAAAACTAAAACTGAAAATCAAAAAAGGAAGGAGATTTATTTAAAAAAATAAGGTATAAACACTGAAAGGGCAGCAAAATGTAGTCCCGATGAGCACAGAGACAAACTGAAGCACAACGAACCTACAGGGAACACGAGACAGACAGAGAATGTAAAGAGACACTAACGAGCTGACAACAAGAAACACCTGGGAGAGACATTAGGATCAGGTGTGCACACAGGGGGAACAGAGAAACACTGCAAAGATGCAAGAAACATTAGAAAGAAAAAAAAAACCCACAGAAGAGAAACAAACATGAAACCCTACAGAGGCTCGCTAAAAATAGCAGAACTGGAGCTAAAAACTAAATAAAAAGGACAAAATTCATAATATTTTTAATGAGAATTTGTTTGAAAGGACTGAGATCTCAATGTGGAAGTCAAAGTTACCAAATGTCATGGCACAGATCACCTTGACTGAGCTAAATGTTTTGTGTATTCCTAAATTAATTTAAAAAATAACTAGATTGCAAACAAAAACAATAACATGGTTAATCTATAAATCCAGGTTTGGGAACAGAACAAACCACACCTATATTCACAGAGCTTTTCTTTTGCTCTTGACACCCACCCTTCCTTTTTCCCCCTCACCTACCTACCTCTCCTCTTTTCTTCTTTCTTTTTATTCCACTTATCGTCCCTCCAGAAGGCTTTACACAGCAGATTCATTTCATATCCAGCAGCTGTACATATCCTGATTTAGTCAGAGTCCTCTCAATACAGCCCAATCAAATACTTCATCACTCTCATCYTCATCCTCACTAATATCTTTTTTCATTTGAATAAGGTCAGTTTTTTCGCCCACTGAGAAAGCATCCCAGTTTGAGTCTCCTCWCTAACTCCCCACATGAGAATCAGCTTCAGGTCCTCTTTATTCTTAACCCAGCAGTTAAAACGGAGGTCCTGTGCACTATTTTGACCCAAGGGCAGCAGGAGGGTTAACACTAAACAAATAATTGGAATTGTTATATAATGGTCTCTGCTAAATATAGTTTAGTAAAAAAATAATATTTCTCAGCAAACTTTGAATTTTTACGATTCAAAATTTTACGACACAGAGTATGAGACTAAACCTTCAGTGCTTGATCAATAAAAGCAGGTCTGCTCTGCAAGGCCACAGCTTTAACCTGCTTCTGTTCAGCCTGGCAGAGCTGCTAATGATGTCACCACTGAAGGAGAAGCAGCTGCAGGAAATCACTACTAAAAAGAGTGAACTTTTGTTCAAACAGCCCTGTCCCCACAAACTTTAAAGTTATATTTTAAACCCTTAATGTATTTTTTTATGTCTTGTGTTAAAACGTATCTCTGCTGATGAAGGCAGGTAATGTTTCTGACAGGTAACAGGAGAACATGGATCACCACACTCTGTGCAGCACAGCGGACAGATAATATTAGAGACACTTTGACAGTTGTTTCTGTTTTGCAACACACCTAATCTCGTTTCAAATTTGACGTGGACCATATTCCTGCTGATTTGCAGACAAAGTGAAGGTTTGGAGCAGCAACAAAATGATGCAGACAGAAATTCTTCTACTCAATTCCTAGAGACCAGTTCCTCCAGAAAAAAATGATGTGCCAAGCTCTGGTTGTGTATTGTTCATCAGGCCCTCCATCAAGCATTGATCAGGTCACCTGACTGATCTCCTGTTGGCCCACTGAGACCCATTAAATAGCTTTATAGCTATCTTTTTCCATTGACTTTTACACACAAGTTATTTAAAAACGAATTTTATTGATATTTTATCTTGTCACAGCAAATTATTCTCATAAATATATGTAGACAATAAAATAGTGACTTGGAGCATGCACATTAACTGAAAAACTTCAATTATCACAGCTGCTGAGAGAGYAAGGTAAGAGGTCTCACTCTGACACATTTTCATAAACCACAAATGTTTGCTTGTCTGTTTGTTCTTCTGCTGTTTCACTATATCTGCTTTTGCTTCCTCTTAATCAGGTTGCCATTGAAAATAAGAATTTGTTTTCAACTGACATTATTAAATAAATAAATTACAATATCACCAAATGCTCAACATTTAACAATCAGAGTAGTTCATTCATGGCAGAACAAAAAAAAATCATTAAACATTGGATGCTAGAGAAGCTGGCTTTCAGACACAAAAACATTCTCATTAAAAGGCGTGGCTTAGTTTAAAAGGGACATGTGCAAAATTTGCCTTTTTAGCAGTTAAACMTATTTTGTAGTGTACTTGGAGTCTCTAGGAGGCAGAAAAGTTTTATTTAATCTCTCCTGATGCTACAATGTTTATATTCTTATAWTAATGCTTCATGAAGTCTGATCTTTAGTTCTTTCCATAGATTTTCTGTTGGATTCAGGTCAGGTGATTGGCTGGGCCATTCCAGCAGCTTTAGTTTCTTTCACTGAAACCAACTGAGAGTTTCCTTG